GCTCTAGTGTATGTCCTTGTACAGCTCTAGTGTATGTCCGTGTAGTGGACAATCCGTGATGTCACTTCTTGGTGAGCACAGCTCTAGTGTATGTCCTTGTACAGCTGGAGTGTATGTCCTTGTAGTGGATAATGCATGATGTCACTTCGTGGTGAGCACAGCTCTAGTGTATGTCCTTGTACAGCTCTAATGTATGTCCTTGCACAGCTCTAGTGTATGTCCTTGTACAGCTCTAGTGTATGTCCTTGTACAGCTCTAGTGTATGTCCTTGTACAGCTCTAGTGTATGTCCTTGTAGTGGACAATCCGTGATGTCACTTCTTGGTGAGCACAGCTCTAGTGTATGTCCTTGTACAGCTGTAGTGTATGTCCTTGTAGTGGATAATGCATGATGTCACTTCGTGGTGAGCACAGCTCTAGTGTATGTCCTTGTAGTGGACAATCGGTGATGTCACTTCTTGGTGAGCACAGCTCTAGTGTATGTCCTTGTACAGCTCTAGTGTATGTCCTTGTAGTGGATAATGCATGATGTCACTTCGTGGTGAGCACAGCTCTAGTGTATGCCCTGTAGTGGACAATCCGTGATGTCACTTGTTGGTGAGCACAGCTCTAGTGTGTCCTTGTACAGCTCTAGTGTATGTCCTTGCACAGCTCTAGTGTATGTCCTTGCACAGCTCTAGTGTATGTCCCTGTAGTGGACAATCCGTGATGTCACTTCTTGGTTGAGTACAGCTCTAGTGTATGTCCCCTGTAGTGGACAATCCGCGATGTCACTTCTTGGTGAGCACAGCTCTAGTGTATGTCCCTGTAATGGAGAATCCTAGATGTCACTTCTTGGTGAGCACAGCTCTAGTGTGTCCTTGTACAGCTCTAGTGTATGTCCTTGCACAGCTCTAGTGTATGTCCTTGCACAGCTCTAGTGTATGTCCCTGTTGTGGACAATCCGTGATGTCACTTCTTGGTGAGTACAGCTCTAGTGTATGTCCTTGTATTGGACAATCCGTGGTGTCACTTCTTGGTGAGCACAGCTCTAGTGTATGTCCTTGTACAGCTCTAGTGTATGTCCCTGTAGTGGACAATCCGTGATGTCACTTCTTGGTGAGTACAGCTCTAGTGTATGTCCCTGTAGTGGACAATCCGTGATGTCACTTCTTGGTGAGCACAGCTCTAGTGTATGTCCTTGTACAGCTCTAGTGTATGTCCCTGTAGTGGACAATCCGTGATGTCACTTCTTGGTGAGCACAGCTCTAGTGTATGTCCCTGTAATGGACAATCCGTGATGTCACTTTTTGGTGAGCACAGCTCTAGTGTGTCCTTGTACAGCTCTAGTGTATGTCCTTGCACAGCTCTAGTATATGCCCTTGCACAGCTCTAGTGTATGTCCCTGTTGTGGACAATCCGTGATGTCCCTTCTTGGTGAGTACAGCTCTAGTGTATGTCCTTGTAGTGGACAATCCGTGGTGTCACTTCTTGGTGAGCACAGCTCTAGTGTATGTCCCTGTAGTGGACAATCCGTGATGTCACTTCTTGGTGAGCACAGCTCTAGTGTATGTCTTTGTACAGCTCTAGTGTATGTCCTTGCACAGCTCTAGTGTATGTCCTTGCACATCTCTAGTGTATGTCCCTGTAGTGGACAATCCGTGATGTCACTTCTTGGTGAGTACAGCTCTAGTGTATGTCCCTGTAGTGGACAATCCGTGATGTCACTTCTTGGTGAGCACAGCTCTAGTGTATGTCCTTGTACAGCTCTAGTGTATGTCCCTGTAGTGGAGAATCCGTGATGTCACTTCTTGGTGAGCAGAGCTCAAGTGCATGTCCTTGTACACCTGTAGTGTATGTCCTTGTAGTGAATAATGCATGATGTCACTTCGTGGGGAGCACAGCTCTAGTGTATGTCCTTGTACAGCTCTAGTGTATGTCCTTGCACAGCTCTAGTGTATGTCCTTGTACAGCTCTAGTGTATGTCCCTGTAGTGGACAATCCGTGATGTCACTTCTTGGTGAGCACAGCTCTAGTGTATGTCCTTGTACAGCTCTAGTGTATGTCCTTGTAGTGGACAATCCGTGATGTCACTTCTTGGTGAGCACAGCTCTAGTGTATGTCCTTGTACAGCTCTAGTGTATGTCCTTGTACAGCTCTAGTGTATGTCCTTGTAGTGGACAATCCGTGATGTCACTTCTTGGTGAGCACAGCTCTAGTGTATGTCCTTGTACAGCTGTAGTGTATGTCCTTGTAGTGGATAATGCATGATGTCACTTCGTGGTGAGCACAGCCTAGCTCTAGTGTATGTCCTTGTAGTGGACAATCCGTGATGTCACTTCGTGGTGAGCACAGCTCTAGTGTATGTCCTTGTACAGCTCTAGTGTATGTCCTTGTAGTGGATAATGCATGATGTCACTTCGTGGTGAGCACAGCTCTAGTGTATGTCCCTGTAGTGGACAATCCGTGATGTCACTTCTTGGTGAGCACAGCTCTAGTGTATGTCCTTGTACAGCTCTAGTGTATGTCCTTGTAGTGGACAATCCGTGATGTCACTTCTAGGTGAGCACAGCTCTAGTGTATGTCCTTGTACAGCTCTAGTGTATGTCCTTGTAGTGGATAATGCATGATGTCACTTCGTGGTGAGCACAGCTCTAGTGTATGTCCTTGTACAGCTCTAGTGTATGTCCTTGCACAGCTCTAGTGTATGTCCTTGCACAGCTCTAGTGTATGTCCTTGTAGTGGACAATCCATGATGTCACTTCTTGGTGAGCACAGCTCTAGTGTATGTCCTTGTACAGCTCTAGTGTATGTCCTTGTAGTGGACAATCCGTGATGTCACTTCTTGGTGATCACAGCTCTAGTGTATGTCCTTGTACAGCTCTAGTGTATGTCCTTGTACAGCTCTAGTGTATGTCCGTTGTAGTGGACAATCCGTGATGTCACTTCTTGGTGAGCACAGCTCTAGTGTATGTCCTTGTACAGCTGGAGTGTATGTCCTTGTAGTGGATAATGCATGATGTCACTTCGTGGTGAGCACAGCTCTAGTGTATGTCCTTGTACAGCTCTAATGTATGTCCTTGCACAGCTCTAGTGTATGTCCTTGTACAGCTCTAGTGTATGTCCTTGTACAGCTCTAGTGTATGTCCTTGTACAGCTCTAGTGTATGTCCTTGTAGTGGACAATCCGTGATGTCACTTCTTGGTGAGCACAGCTCTAGTGTATGTCCTTGTACAGCTGTAGTGTATGTCCTTGTAGTGGATAATGCATGATGTCACTTCGTGGTGAGCACAGCTCTAGTGTATGTCCTTGTAGTGGACAATCGGTGATGTCACTTCTTGGTGAGCACAGCTCTAGTGTATGTCCTTGTACAGCTCTAGTGTATGTCCTTGTAGTGGATAATGCATGATGTCACTTCGTGGTGAGCACAGCTCTAGTGTATGCCCTGTAGTGGACAATCCGTGATGTCACTTGTTGGTGAGCACAGCTCTAGTGTGTCCTTGTACAGCTCTAGTGTATGTCCTTGCACAGCTCTAGTGTATGTCCTTGCACAGCTCTAGTGTATGTCCCTGTAGTGGACAATCCGTGATGTCACTTCTTGGTTGAGTACAGCTCTAGTGTATGTCCCTGTAGTGGACAATCCGCGATGTCACTTCTTGGTGAGCACAGCTCTAGTGTATGTCCCTGTAATGGACAATCCTAGATGTCACTTCTTGGTGAGCACAGCTCTAGTGTGTCCTTGTACAGCTCTAGTGTATGTCCTTGCACAGCTCTAGTGTATGTCCTTGCACAGCTCTAGTGTATGTCCCTGTTGTGGACAATCCGTGATGTCACTTCTTGGTGAGTACAGCTCTAGTGTATGTCCTTGTATTGGACAATCCGTGGTGTCACTTCTTGGTGAGCACAGCTCTAGTGTATGTCCCTGTAATGGACAATCCGTGATGTCACTTCTTGGTGAGCACAGCTCTAGTGTATGTCCTTGTACAGCTCTAGTGTATGTCCCTGCACAGCTCTAGTGTATGTCCTTGCACAGCTCTAGTGTATGTCCCTGTAGTGGACAATCCGTGATGTCACTTCTTGGTGAGCACAGCTCTAGTGTATGTCCCTGTAGTGGACAATCCGTGATGTCACTTCTTGGTGAGCACAGCTCTAGTGTATGTCCTTGTACAGCTCTAGTGTATGTCCCTGTAGTGGACAATCCGTGATGTCACTTCTTGGTGAGCACAGCTCTAGTATATGTCCTTGTACAGCTGTAGTGTATGTCCTTGTAGTGGACAATCCGTGATGTCACTTCTTGGTGAGCACAGCTCTAGTGTATGTTCTTGTACAGCTCTAGTGTATGTCCTTGTACAGCTCTAGTGTATGTCCTTGTAGTGGACAATCCGTGATGTCACTTCTTGGTGAGCACAGCTCTAGTGTATGTCCTTGTACAGCTCTAGTGTATGTCCTTGTAGTGGATAATGCATGATGTCACTTCGTGGTGAGCACAGCTCTAGTGTATGTCCTTGTACAGCTCTAGTGTATGTCCTTGCACAGCTCTAGTGTATGTCCTTGTACAGCTCTAGTGTATGTCCTTGCACAGCTCTAGTGTATGTCCTTGCACAGCTCTAGTGTATGTCCTTGTAGTGGACAATCCGTGATGTCACTTCTTGGTGAGCACAGCTCTAGTGTATGTGCTTGTACAGCTCTAGTGTATGTCCTTGTAGTGGACAATCCGTGATGTCACTTCTTGGTGAGCACAGCTCTAGTGTATGTCCTTGTACAGCTCTAGTGTATGTCCTTGTACAGCTCTAGTGTATGTCCTTGTAGTGGACAATCCGTGATGTCACTTCTTGGTGAGCACAGCTCTAGTGTATGTCCTTGTACAGCTCTAGTGTATGTGTGTGATTCAGTTGTAAAACGGTCACAGTGTCATAACTACAATCTGCCAACATCGGCATTTGTCTAGCAGTAACAGAAACGCCGCCAATTCATGTAGAATAGGTGCTCATTCGCCTATTGAAAAATACAGGGAAGCCAACGTAAAGAACTGGGTGAAACTGTTTATATAAATAAAAAAGCATTGTGGCAACCAATATAACTCTGCTTCGTATATACATTTTGTTGTAAAATAACTTTCTCAGATATTTGATAAAATATACAACTTTGTTTCGACAAGATAATATGTACGCAATGATGACAATACAAGAAATTGTCTTTGTTGGTCATATTGCCGGGAGAGTGTTTCAAATAAGTACAACAAATTGTGTCCGCCATTTTGACCTTTACCTTAGGAAATGACAAAAGCTCCACACATGGTTCGGATGATGGGAGGAGCTTATATACAGTCTCGACGTGACTGCAATGCACAGTAGGACGCGCAACAAGAGGTAAGGTTTGATAACATAACTGCAATGCCCTTTCAGAAGTGTCGCAATTTCTGTTATGGAGGTCACTGTCGGAAATGTCACGCAGCTAAAATGCTTGACTTGCGTTTTGTTGATTTAGGCTTTGAAAAAATGGAATTCAGATTGATATCACCCAACGTATCAAACATAATGTCATCTGCTTTCTATTTCAAATAATCCGGGCTATCAATTACCTTATATGACATTGTTTAAACGCGAGTCATAAATAGGCACTAGAGGATATGATATATTACTACAGGATCTTGTTCACATCACGTAAACAGTGTTCCTGTTTGTAATAATATCAATATTGTTCTCGTTTGTAACGAGGAATGTGGTTCAGTCGTGTCGATGACCTGTGTTCGAATCCATAATATGTAAAGTCATTTTTGGTTTTTGAGCCTCGATGTAGGCGTGATATTGTCCACTTGCGTTAATTACACTTATCCATTCCTAATCAGCATCTTTTCGCCACTAGATTTATCACAGACATAATAATCACATTTCACATTTAATCATGTTACACACGTCTCTCTAAACGATTTCATTTATCTCACGGTATGTCAGCTTGAGTTGGGAGGAAATACCGATTGATCCAGGTCTTAGACTACTGCCACTTAGCTGAAACCAAAGAACTGATACACCTTGACGCAGGACCAATCTGGGATTCGTAGCTTTCTGGAATGCTTACATACGCAAATCTGCAATCCGGATGACGGCGCCTGAGACGGTTTGGTCACCCGTGCCCCTTATCAAGGCTGTTGTCGAGAACGCGCATGCTCTGTCTAGTGTATATTATCAGCAGGGATTCCAAACCTCAAGGTCAACAAAGAAGACAGCCTTCACTGTTTAAAATAAATAACATTGAAATGTCATCAGGTGGTGTTTTCGTTTTGGCTACCTTAAAGGTACAAAGAATTACCCAAAATTACGCTCAGGTAGAAACCTAAACTAAATTATAAAACATTTATCCTTACGTTCATGAAGAAAATACTTGTTGGTTGATTTTGAATATCTCTTGATAGCTACGTCGAATATGATAACCTTCATTTCATTCTAGAATCGAAAATATTGGTGGTGTTTAACATGTTCCCCCCATCACCCGGACCTCTGATTGCTGGTTTCCTTTGTATTTCGGGAACAGTGTGGGAAACGCACACTGAAATGACTTCTATTTAATTAAGGCACTGTCACACGTATACAATTCAGGTTAAGGTAAACGCTCGATAGTGTCCAGTGGTCCTGGAATGAGTGTGGTTAATATCCAGACGATTTGGCGCATCTATTATGGACACTTTTCAATATCAACTACTTCAGGTTACCTACCGAATGTTCAAGACAAGTTAACCTGCCAGTCACAACCGTATTCACAACTATCTATCGTTTCTCAACGGACTTTGAAAGGCGTACTTTGCACTCTCAACGTCTCAAACATTACATTGTTACGTATATATGTGCTATTGATCCACCGACATTTGGACCTCTATTCCTGTCGAACACTGGTCTCAGAAACAGTCAATTTGCTCATTATGGATCTGAAACCATGCACCGATGGCACTGTCATTACGCCGTGGGTGCTTCTAGGGATTGTCTCAGGTGAGACATTCTCATCACTGTTTCACATCCCATCTGCCTCCTTTGTCAATCAGTCTCAAATGTATCAAATCACTACAGTAGTGTCACAGCCTTGAGGACAATCATTTGACGGTCGTGCCATTTTCTGACCGAATTCACGCACAGACAATACAAGGACTGGAACCCACACGACCCAAATACTACTTCAAACAATCAGAGGAATCCACTGATTCATTACTTGCTCGCTGACTCTGTGAAGAGAATACATGTAATCTAGATAACAACGGAGCACGCAGGTCCTCAGGCTTCTACTATCTCTCAGCCTCTGTATCAACTTGTGATGGAGCCTCCTCCTCAAACACTTGGTCATCCTGAGCTTGACTCCACTTCCACAACCTGATGTTTCTCTTCAAGATCTCGTTATAGGTGGAGTCTCCCCCTGTAAGACCGTCCACGGGGAAGCTGACTGCAGACACGAAGGAGAAGGAACGTGGTCGGAACCTTTGCTTGAGAAGACGTAGAGATGACGTACTGTCTTCGAGCTCACTGCCAGAGCTGTACACAATGTCTTCTTGAGAGCCTAGGGTGTCTGAAATATTTTAGAAATATTTAGATCAAACTCCATATCTACTAACATACATGCCTGCTAGGTGGATGAATGAGTGAGTGATTTTTAGTCACATCATCAGTCTTTCAGCCATATTGTGACTAAAACAAGTTATACACAGATATAGATGTAAAACTAGCATGCCTAAAATCTAAACCTATTTTACCATTGAAGACAATACAATATAAAAACAGGCTTTGGATCGCCAACAACTGAAGGTAGGTCACCGTACTAAGGACCATGAGGCTTTTGCTTCCTGCATGGACCCTAGCTGTATTTACACCACCATCCCTTACAGTTCCTACGAGTAAATGCCTGGTACGCCTAAGTGTACTTTGAATGTTTTGTCTAGTAAGAAGCAGTGCCATTAGGAATACATAACATCAACCCAAAATAAACACGTACCCCAGAATAAATTGTGTAAATATACGTAAATTCGAACTTTCCAAGTATTTTATCTGTAACGAGAGAGTTCATACACAATCGAGATGGTTAAAACGATCTACACAACCTTGCCACAATGACACACTCTCCACAAGATCTTATATTCTAACAACCAACGTGTGACAATAGAGATCGCCAAGACAGAAGCATTGGTAAGTCGATGATACATCCATATCCGAAACATACCCTGCTCACTGGAGGTGGAACTGGCTCTTGAGAGATGCTTCTCCTCAACACAGAACCTGGGTTCACTCTGCTGCCGCAGCAACGGAGGTTTCCTGACAGGGAGGGTAGAGTAGCCGTTGAGAGAACTGTTGAGCCTGATGGCGCAGGAAGAGGAACGTTCATGAAGGGCACGACGCCCCGAGCTGAGACGCCGGATTGTCTCGTTGATGTGGATGAGCTGCCTGAGCAGCTGCAGATCCTGTTCTCGCATTGCGGTCTGGAACAATGAGAGAAATACGTCAGGCTACACAAGAAAATTATGGGAATATATTAACTGAATCTGCAACTGACGACACGGGCTCGTAGTGCCCGTGTAACATTATTCAGCATGGAACAGTGTGTATCATGTAAAAGGGACAACTGACAATTCTGACTATCCTGCCAAGGCATTTATTGTCATCAAACGTCTCAAAAGAAGTTACCAGTTGTTTTCTCAATGTTCAATGATCATATCATATATCAGCCACCTGAAGCATGATATATAACAAGATGTGCAGTGAGAGATTTTAATTCCACTGACGTGGATTCATAAATGCATTTCAGACCTTTTTAAAGGAAAAAGTAATAAATATCCTATTCAATCATAAATCTATTTTACGTGCATTACTGTCGGCGATTGTTATTTTTAACAGCTCAAAGGTTTATGCTACCTGTCTAGGTATGTGTATTTCAATTACATCGCAACAGAAAGCTGTTTACGGTGGTCATAAATCACCTGGGTGACTGACAGCCGGACACCCCCAGGGCGGGGTGGAGAAAGTACACAAAGCCTTAACTGTCAAAATAACATTGTTTTCAAATCATGTCGTTGTTTCTTTCGAATGAACAACCGCCGCCAGTCACCGCAAATCTAAATGACGTCAGTGGTACACTACATCATTCTGTGTCCCTGTACTGTAGCAATCATTTACCTTGAAATCATAATGAGGCGTGCCAAATGGGTATTGTTATTCATTTATCAGATCTCCTCTTTCTTAATGGAACTAATTAAACTTTGTAAATGGACCCATCTCCCTCCCATCTCTCTCCCCGCCTCCTCCATATAGGACTCGTGAAGATCCGGGATAGAATTGGTCTTCAATAACCCATGCTTGTCGTAAGAGGCGACTAACGGGTGGTCAGGCTTGTTGACTTGGCTGACACATGTCATCGTATCCCAACTGCATAGATAGATGCTCATGCTGTTGATCACTGGGGTGACTGGTGCAGACTCGATTATTTACAAACCGCCGACATATAACTGGAATACTGCCGACCAACCGACCATCCAGACTCCCATATAGCGTTCAAAACAATATCAGAGCACTTGATTTTACTTTATCTATGTTCTACCATCACGACTAGGTACATGACACTTTTCTTATCTATAGCATTAACTCCTTTTCACACTTGGAGATCAGAACAAACATTGTCCCTGTCAATAACGACCTATTGACACAATAACCTGTGACGATTCAAGGTCATCTGACATCAGTATTTACATTGCCCAGCTAACATTCCGCGTTTTATGATGGTCACTGTGCTCTGAGTTATTGTCGCACATCCCCTAAATCATCTACTAGAGGCATTATCCTTCCAGCTGCACGAATACTGTAGTCAATGCTGTCACATCAACAGAGTAGCGTCATACAGGGGTCTGTGCTCCTGGCTGCAGCTGGTACTGTGTAATATGTATTGTGTCAAATGTACACTCAGTAAATTTAACTTTGTCATCTTAGTTTTAATTTGTTAAATCTGAATTAAATTTGGTTTTCTTAACAAAATAAATTTGAAATAATGAAAAACGACTACAGAAAAAGTGGGAACGTGCATTTAAGGGGAGAATATGAACATTGTATAGTAGGATATTTTTTAAATGTCAACAAACGTGGTACAGAATATCTGAAAGGGGGATTCTGATCAAATAAACCATGTCAAGCTCTTCGTAATTTCCCTGAGATGTTTGACTAAGAGACGCCAAAAACGTACAGGTGGTCAAACGATACCATAGGCTCTGAGAGTTTAAATAAACTTGAACGCTCATAAAGACTTCAAGATGAAAGAGTGCAGTTCATATCTTAACAAGGTCAGACCCTATTTGATATCTGTGTGTATCGTGCATCAGGTTTACATCACACTGTTATAGTACATGCGCATAAAACATTTATTATAAATATTCATGACTGTACCGCATAGGTTCATGGCGTGCACCAGGTCTTGTTTAGTATTATTTATATACTAACGTGCCGCGCTCATCTACATTGTCAATACTTGCACTTGCGGGCACTGAATATCCTGAATGGGTTAATACTGTTGACAGTTGTTGGAAATATCTGATTTAAATCATCAAAGATAGGTGCGCTAAAATGCATATTGAACATGTGATGTGATCCGTATTTCACGAACATTAAAGATTGTCGGACATATAAGTGTTCGTGCATTGCTTGAGCGGGCATGATCTTCAATATTCATTGTTGAGTGTTTCAGAATATGAAACCTTTGACACAAGAACTATTTTCCTGCGCATAAATTTTAAAAATAATACGTGCTATATAACGCGCTAAACTCCATTCACTAGGTGAATGCTCATAGCGCTAACAAATATAAACTGATTATTAATACCCCGGATAACCCAAGCTGTATGTGAGGCTCTAGAACATGGCTTATCCCACCGGGTACCCATTTTCTGTTGGGTGAACAGAGGCAATTATGAACAAACTTACTTGCCTCAGGTGAGATCAGATGTATCACATATGCTTCGTTGTGGGGCAAGACTGAAGTCATAGAAACTCTCAGGAGTCAAGCTGCCAAACACGGTCACCTATCCAAGAACTCTCCGCGTCGCCCAATTTTTCTTAACTTCAACTGATTTTTTAACCTGAGCTCCATCCACAGGACCACACACTGCCTTTCAGTGCCCGATTATGACAGCAACATGTCAGGTCCTGATCCAGGCCAGAGGTTTCAAGTTGACAAGGAACTGCATGACATCTTACATTAAACTTGACTTTATATTCCTCACACTGCTATCTTAGTCCAGTGCAGAATATCACTGACATGCAGAAACACAATCTACGCCTAAGGCTCAAAGATTAGACGATACAAGTCCGGATGAAGTATGCACGGTTGAGATGTTGAAGATTGTATGGTTGAAATATGTATATTATGTGATTAGTTAAAAATATGTTTATTGCACATTTGAAATATGTTCATTTCATATTTGAGATATGTACATTGTATGGTTGAGATGTGTTTATCGAATGGTTGCGATGTATTGTGACGGGTGCCTTCTTTTCGCGAACACCTGGTATAATCACTCACATTCATAAACACATGCAATGGACGCTGCCTTTAACAGAATTTGTTATGACTGTTGAAATAGGTTTTACTTAATATATAAACAATCAGAGCAAAGTCTGGGCAAAATTCGCGACATAAGAACATAATTAATCCTATCAATTTAGCGCACAAATGTTTCTTGTTTCGAAGGGCGACGCATGTTTGAAGAGTTATATAAAAACCATTTTGATGAAAAATGATGTCAAACAAATGAACAAGGATGTGAATAATACTAGTATATTACAGTCAATCACGAATGATGGAAACGCGTGAAACACCTCGGGATAATCTTGTCATGCGTACATTTATATATGTTACCTCCGCCCTCCAAAAGGTCCCCCCTCCCTCGGGTCATCACTGTCTGCTAGGTGTCCGGGGACTGACTAAGCACGTTCCTGCATCTACTGGTCCCCAGATTATGCAGTGGTTATTTAACAATTACCTACCTATCTGTTTCGAGATAAAAGAATCCAGTGTGGATGAAACGAAACGTTTAAACAAACGTCGCAACAGAATAAATAGCTTCCACGGATGTTACGCTGATGAGCGTATTAATACATCTCGAATACAAAGCAAACACTATTTAATATAGGTAAGGTCACCTAACATCACTGGTGGGAAACATGAGATGTATGAAGCTGGGGTGGATGTACTGATCTAAACATACGAAAAATTATGACAAAATTAACTATTAAATGTGCGAAAACTGATATGCTCCTGTAAATATATTATCGTTATATAAGAACCATTGAGTTTTGAAATGAGGGAACGAATTCAAAAATCACATGGAAGCGAGCGACACGTCTTTGAGTCAGCTCGGGATATAACGACGTAGTCTATATAACGATTACGACCAGTCGTAGTCTCTCGTACAGACCCTGAAGCAAATATATCCAAGAAAGCCCACGCAAGTCTAGAAAATGTGGCAAGTCTAGATTTCGACTGAAAACGAAGAAAGTCTCAGGGCCCCTTTTCATTATATATTTTTTTTTTCACTATGTATTTTTTTTCCAGTAAAATATGTTCATTTCAGAGACTAGTTGTTAGTCTAGACCAGTCGTTAAAACAGATTGTGAGTGAATTTGGTTTAACGCCACTTTTAACTACCCGTGAAGATCCGGGTACCCCACGCTTGTCGTAAGAGGCGACTAACGGGATCGGGTGATCAGGCTCGCTGACTTGGTTTGACACGTGTCATTGTATCCCAGTTGCGTAGATCGATGCTTATGCTGTTGATCACTGGATTGTCTTGTCCAGACTCGCCGCCATATAGCAGGAATATTGCTGCGTGCGCCGTTAAACAACAAAACAACCAAGAACTTTTTACAGCATTTCAGCCATATCATGGCCTGTCTGGTTAATGCTAGAGGGAAAGCAGAAGTGATTGAAGGTCTCATATGTGCTGACAAACCAAAATACGTAATCAGGGATTCGAACCAACAACAATAGGTTCCTGGCGTGCCGAGGGGACACAACTCTGCATAGTACATTACAACGCCTTGTACATCTTGTTCCCCCGTGCGCGTAAGTAAGAATCCTTGACTGGTCTTATATATGCTGGTGTTGCAGAGAAAAGATATCTGTTGCAGTCTATTATTGAACACAGGATCACCAGGTTTTGGCGCATCGTAAAATTGCGGAAGTATTATATTATTCAATGTGAATGTCATAATGTGTATATTAAATTAGATCGTTTATGTCATTCTGACATGAATAATCTTGACGTTACACACATGACGCGGCGATATTAGCGGACATTCAACAAATACCGTGCACCACATTAATAGCCCGTGGTAACGATTTAATAGAAAGTTTCAAGTAAATGTTTCCGTTTGTAAAATAAGAAGCAAGTTCTCCCGGTAGTGACATGAAGATACTTGAGCACAACAAAGTAAGGGA